ATTTTAGGAGAGCAAGAGCGTTTAGTGTCTCACATAATAAAACGCAATCATAGTATTGTAACAAAAAAACAGAAACTTAAGATTGTTTTCAGTGAAAAAATGAAAAAAAAAAAAAAAAAAAGACGTGACCAACTCCACTCCTCCATTTTCGGAGAGAGAGAGGGACTAATATCTCATAGAAATACTATTAAAAAAAGCAGAAACTTAAAAAGACATGACCAACTCCACTTCTCTTCCATTTTGGACAACATATTAATCAAACGAAGTTAAATTAAAAAAAATATCTAAGAAATTTAAAAATGAGATAAAAGAATTTAATATCTCACAAAATTATAAATTTATATATAGATATATACGAAACCAACGTGGGAGAAAGAAAGGGGTAGAGGTGGCCGTGAGTTTTCAAAAAAGAGTGTAATTCGCCCACTACAAGTGCTAACTTCCCAGTTCGTAAAATCCCATTTTTTCCGTTTCTACTCATTTTCCCATATCCAAATTCAAATGTTTTAATTTTCCCCTCAGTTATGTAACTACTATCAACAGTTGTTGCTTGGCATTACAGACTCTCACACTCCAACATGGGATAAAACGAGTTTAAGCAACGTCTGAGTCATCATTCTTCTTTTTTTTTCAAATTTTTCGCATTTTCGCTTTGCCATTCTTCTCTATCTCTCTCTCCCCTAATCTAGGTGTAAGCTTATTTTTTTCACTTCCACGGGTTTTCTGCCTTTCAAACGTATGTGTTATAGCTTTTGCAAACCCTAATCCGTCTACATATTCATTTGTGTATATATATAAATATATGTATATGAATTTTTGTGGTTAAATTCTTGGTGCTTTTTATTTCCATTTTCTTATGCTTTCTCTCCTTTTTGTTATAGGGTCAAGATGATTCTATTAGGCTCCAAAGTTCAAAGGTTTGAGTAATTTTGGGTAAATATCAATCTAAATTTACCTTTTCAGTTTTTTATTTTATTTTTTTATTTTATTTTTTATTTTATGGTTTATATCTTTTAGGTGATGAATTTGATGCACTTTACTGCAACTTCCAGGCTGTATATATGAGTTTGTATTTAGTATTTCATTTTGCATTTTTTAAATTTTGGTCAAATTATGAGTTTCAATTTTGATTATCTTAATGTGCTATACGTGTGCTATGGAAATTAAAAAAAATATTTGTTTTAATTCTCAGGATATCTACAAGAATAGCCACAAAAAATGGAGAAGGAACTTCCTATTGATAAGATCCCAAATAGACGTGTCTTTATTTTTACTCCTGGTTGGGAGATATTTGTCTGAGTAAAAACTATTGATCTAAGCCAATTGATTCTCAAATAGTGGAAAAAGAAGAAGCATGAGCAGTATGTATTCTAAATTCTTTATTAAATTTGTTACACAAAATTCTAACATTATATATACCTTTAATATATAGGTGGCGCATAAAAAAGGCTGTAGAAGAATTAAAACCTTCAACAACTCCTCACATCATACGAATTTGGAATAAAGTCCAACAAATTAGGTATAACACCATTTCTAACCTATTTATTTTTAATGGCATTCTCTATCATTCTACAAATTAATTATCTCAAATTATAAAATTGAAAAAAAAATTCTACAAATTAATTATCTCGAATTATTAAAAAAAAAAAACAATTTAAGGGTGCAGGTAAAAGATTAATAGTGACCAAACAACTTTTCTAAATACGGTAAGTATTCTCTTATTTTCATACGGAAGTATACTGTAAATTCAAATTACGTTCAATTTTCAAATAGAAATAAAATTGCATTTTTTTGTCAGTTTTACAAGCATCACACTCATCTCGAAGTACAAAGGTTGAAGTACAAGATTAAGGTAACATTTCTTACTATCTAATTTTGTAAACAAGATTTCAATTTGTTACCTCAAACTTGACAAATTATTCATCTTTCAGTATTCTAAAAGTAACTGAAGTAAAAGTATTGCCATGAGAAAATTGTCCAAGTTAAAGGTATTTAGGTTAAATTGCTTACAACCTTTATATTTGGCATTGTGCATTATAGTTAGACTTCTTAATTTTTATTTTACCATCATTACTCGCAGATTAACCATGAAAATCTAAAGCATTAAGTGCAAGCAAATCGGTGGCAAGCATGACTTTGATTTCACACGTAGACGCTATGTTTACATATGTACATGTTGTTCATATTTTGCTTTGCTTCATATATTCGGATTGACACTAGCTAGCCTATAACTTTATCTGAAAACTTATGAATTTGAAAATTTTAATTTAAGAACTTGGGTAGATATTTGACATTCTGCATGAGAGAGAGAGGAAGAGAGATTTATCATGTTCTCCATTTTGTGTTTTTCCTTTAATTTCACTTATTGGGTCCAACCTTCATGTTGTTCATACACTAAATGGCAATGTGGCAACTTATTAGGTTTGACCTTACTTAAGTTGTTTTGTTTGTTGTTGTTTGGATTGGAGTACAAACAAATTACATTGTAGCTAAGCAGCAATCTTGAATTCCAAGAAAATGAGATAAGGGATCGAGGCCCAGCAAAAGTATAAGGCCAATGTCCCCTACTCCTGTCATTATTCTGTATAATGGGCAGAAGCAAAAAGATTAAGTTAGATGATTGAAAATAATAAGATATTGTGATGGACACACATCTATATTTTATAAAATAATCACTTACGAAATATAAGAATATATAAAACAACACATATTTGGGGCGCGTAGTGCCCGTGATGCAAAAATACCTCTCGCACGCACGCTAGTGCGTGCAAAGAGGCTAGTTCTGTATAATGGGCAGAAGCAAAAAGATTAAGTTAGATGATTGAAAATAATAAGATATTGTGATGGACACACATCTATATTTTATAAAATAATCACTTAAGAAATATAAGAATATATAAAACAACACATATTTGGGGCGCGTAGTGCCCGTGATGCAAAAATACCTCTCGCACGCACGCTAGTGCGTGCAAAGAGGCTAGTATAAATAAAAGACGTGCAAAATTTAGAGCTTAATATTAATAACCAGTTCGCTTTATCAAAAAAAAAAGAAAAAAAAATTATTAATAACCAATTCACTTACTATGATATTAGGGTAAATAGCCAAAATGGTTCCTGAAATTTGCATAACACATCACTTTGGTCCCTAAGATTGAAAATCAATAGAAATGGTTCCTGAGATCGTCCACCATCCATCATTTTGGTAATTCCGTTAAAAACTCCGTTAAGTGTCCCAGAGCTCTTGGCCGGAAGTTTAGGCAATTTTCAAAGCTTCGTAACTCAATTGTTTCTTAACCAAATTCGACCCATAATATATCAAAATGAAGATAGGAAAGTGTAAAACAAGATTATACTATTTGTAAGCTCAATGGTTGTTGGAGATGGCCGGAAAATAGCTTGAAAGGTGACTGGTCCACGGGAAAACTGGAAAACTCGCTGGAAACTGGGTAAATTTTAAACGTTCATAACTTCTTCAATACTCAACGAAATCAAGTGATTCAAGCAAAAATCATACTTCTCAACTAAACGAAGAGAATGGTACCTTTTTCGAAGGCTAAATAGCCTTGTTTTGGCTGGAAAACGGTTCGAAAGTGGCTAACTTGAGACCAAGACATCCACTTTCGAGCCATTTTCTGTCCAAACCGCCGCGATTTGGCTATCAATAAAGGTACTATTCTCTTTATCTTGTCGAGAAGTATGATTTTCGTTTTCGAATAACTGGATTTCGTTGAGTATTGAAGAAGTTATGAACGTTTAAAGTTTACCCAGTTTCCAGCGAGTTTTTCAGTTTTTCCATGGACCAGTCACCTTTCAGGCTATTTTCCGGCCATCTCCGGCAACCATTGGGCTTCCAAGTAGGTATAATCTTGTTGTACACTTTCCTATCTTCATTTTGATATATTATGGGTCGAATTTGGTTAAGAAACGATTGAGTTACGAAGCTTTGAAAATTGCCCAAACTTCCAGTCAAGAGCTCCAGAACACTTAACGGAGCTTTAACGGAAGAATCAAAATGATGGATGATGGATAATCTCAGGGACCATTTCTATTAATTTTGAATCTCAGGGACTAAAGTGATATGTTATACAAATCTTAGAGATCATTTTAATTATTTAGCCTATAATATTATAATATAAATCTATTGCTTACCCCACATTGAATTTTAATACCATACAATAATTTATCGGCCTAATGGGTACAAAGGAAGCTAGTATCGTATATAATATTGCAGCATGTGGACAAGTGATGAGTCAAGGGTCAGTACTCTGAGTGAATTGAACTGTGAAGTGGTACATGCACTGATGCACATGAAATATGTCAGGGTCTCTGAAAACTTTGTTGAAAAATGGAAGTCGTACCACCATATCTGCCATGCTCCTTTTATTACCTTAACTAGATAAAGTTGCAGCTGCTGGTGGTGGTGGGAGTCCAGGGCCACCATTTCCTGTTCCTGCTCAAATTATAGGAGGAAGGAATCTCTCTTCTTTCCTCTCTTTTTGGTATTTATTTCTTCTTTATTTATTTATTTATGTGGTGACTCGTTTGAGTGGCTGTTAAAATACACTCACGGGACTGTTTCAATAAACTAATAAGCACAATATATACTAGTATATAGTCTCATATACGAGTGCTTAATTGGCCTCTTATTAAACCAAACAAAACCCATGTGAGTGGAGAATAAAACGAGTTTAATCGTCATTAATCGCTATATCTAACGGATGGATGGTATAATGATGTTTAAGCTTAGTAGGTTATGAGAGGATGAATTAGGGAAGTAGCCGCCGAACCCTTATGATATTAGTAGTAAAACGAGTTTGATCATACCAGTATTGAGAATTACATATACGGATCTGATTAGAATCGAATTCTGTTGTATTTTCTTTCATTTCATTCACATAAGGAATAGTTTAAGTGGTTAAAATTCAATTCAATTCTATACTCTCCCAATATTAAATATAAAATGAAATAGAAATTCTTATTTATATATATGAAGAGAAAAACTCTTGTAAGTAAACTTATCTCTCACAACGGATATTAAGCCAGAAACCAACGAAAACGAGATCGATTTATTCCAAAGCGAGAAATAATACATGACAGACAACCGATAACTATAATATACCTCCTTTAGTGTAATAGTTAACTCAGTAATGAGAATGGTTTTATCTCACAGGATGCCAAAGAGAGAGAGAGAGAGAGAGAGAGAGAGAGAGAGAGAGAGAGAGTTATCACAACTCCAAAAGCACTTCAGCTAAATAGGTGATATTATATTGCTAGCATCCGTAAACTGATTGAGTTCTCATACAAATCTTCCTAGATTTTCCCAGAAATATTATAGTTAATTATTATCTTTAGGTTGACCCAAAATCACACCCCAATCAACCTGCAGCCACGGAAGTTCCCATAGGAACCCATTTCCCGTTCACACTTTCTAAGCCTCTTCTGTCTGCTACATTAAGCAAGCTCTTGATTTTTCTCCACCAGTCTCACTTCTTTTGCAGATCTAAGCACACTGGCCTGACAAAAACAAAACAGGAAAAAGAAAAAGATTATTAAACTCAACCCACAACTGAAAAATACTAACACTAATCAATAATTAATGGTGCATTATTAATTTTTTAAAATTAATCAGACCTGGTCCTCAGTAATTTCCACAGAAAACCCATCAACAATGACGAGAGACAATGTCTTCTTGTAGCTTCCTGGCTGAAGGGTTCTTGACAACAGCTGGTCATGCTTCCGGCTTAGGTACAAATCTAGCTCATTTGCTCCTCCCTTTGTTCTATATATATATTATAGATAATTAGCATAATTTATTTGTATGAAGCTAAGTATAAAATGTGGTAAAATTATATATTAAATAAGTAGTAAAGAGAAGTTTATAGTACTAACCGATCCGCTCGAAGGCGTTCGTACTGAGGATCATAGTTCATGAAAACAAAATATAACTCGCTTTTTTTACCTTCCATTTGCTGCTATTCTACCTTTCTGGTGAGTTTGTTCTTCTGCTAGGGTTATATATTGACTCGTATACAATACAATATATGGCCTTCAGCTAGTTCTGAATGATATGGTTATTTATAGTTTGAAGTCATCACAAGAAGCCATTTTCTTTTTCATTTGGGATGCCCAAGTGTACTTCTAAGATAAAATTATTAAATAATTATTGTGCTAATTCATGCTCCATGAAATGAAATTATGATATACTTATATTTTATGAGTGAATTCTAAACTGTTATGACATTTAAATTTCACTATTTTTACTAGAAAATATTAATTAATTAGTTTTTTTTTTAATACAACGATATATTTACACTCAAAATATTGAACTCGTTATCTACGAAATTCGAACTTAAGACCTTTTACTTACAAGTGAAGAGGAATATTATTAGGTCGTAGTACTAAGTTGTTACTCATTTAGTCAATTACGTTGGAGTATAATAATGCACATAATCACACCTGCTGAGAGTATGCATCTCATATTCAAAAAATAAGGGATATTGCATGTGTAAATATGCTTATTATTAGTTGTGACTACTTTTCATATCATCAGCTAATTTTATAGTAAAATATCAATTTCTTCCAATATTTTTTTCAATTATTTCATAAGTTTTACACCATTCTCATAATGAAAGTGATACGAAAAATGGTTGGGATACGTTTTGGAAAATAATGGGGAAGAGATTGATATCTAACATATTTAACATATCTATTATAGGAATTCTTTAAGAAGAGGGGTCTTCATTTAAAAAAAAAATAATGAGGACATCATTTTGACCGTTGGATTTGATTTTAATGAAATTACGTGGTTGAGATTGTGTAATTTGTGATTTAATTTCAACCACACAATTTTACATATAGTCTTAGACTCTTAGTTGCAATTAGTACTATAGACTAGCACGAAGCTCAGAGGCAGTACCTGTTCATTTTTTAAAAGAATTTATAAATCGATTATTAAAGAGAACAAAGAGTAAATCAATAAACCAACTTAGTCTACCATTGACTTGGAATATGTCATCTTTTTATTATTGACACAACTGGCCAATATAGCACTGACTTGAAAGTCAAATATCCGCATGGTAAATATACAACCAATTATGAAGGGCACCCCGTCCAAATGGACGGTCATGTATAGGGATGGGCAACACTTATGACAGCCGATAACCGCAATTATTTATCCATAATTATTTAATATTTTATTTGCATAACCATTTATCTATTGGATAATTATATAAACGATTATACTCATGCCCATAACAGTTTATAAACGGTTAAACACACTCATAATTGTGTATCTATTTAACCGTAACAGCATATATCCGTTTATCCATTTACCATTTTTTTACCTATCTACATGTTTTTTTAACAACTTAAAAATTAAAAAAAAAATTGTCATAATTTTCTTTTTTGGTCATATTTGACAACAAATCGAAGAGATTTTTCTTGGTAGCCCAGCACCTGAACATCAAACACTAATTTATAACCGTAATTAGAATTTGGAAATTAATTACAGCAGCATCCATACACATGATCATGAAACATTGATTTATAACCGCGATTAGCAAGACGAAGAAAACACTAATCAGACACCACTAAACTTGAGACCATCCCTCTAAAATTAATAGACAAGAGGCCCTCCATCCCTTCCAACCAAAATATGTTTAGCATGCAATGCATAAATAAACTCGAACTCGTAATCAGTGAGAACTTCCGACCTAAAAATTTATTAATTTAGGGTTTAGGTTTTTTTTTTTTTTAATTTTACATATATAAACATGAACGGCTAAAAGGGTACCTGTTTATAACCAGGAGTAATATCCATAACCACCCATTTAAATTTCACAGGTAAACGGTTATACCCGTAACCGTTTATTCATCTAACAGTTATCTATAACTATAATCGTGAACTTTATTGGTATTTTGCCGACTCATGTACAATGGCTTGAAGTGATTTGCCAACGTGAAAGTAGGTCTGTTGAAGATCATTCGTCCAGACATGATCCTCCAGATAGTTGGTGATTCGGACGAGCTTTCGGAAATGTTCTTTGGATTTTCTTTTTCTTTAATTATTGTCTCCGGGATCTCGATCAAGATGGTTGAAGGTTCGTCCCTTAATTAGGAAATCTCCCTCCAAACAGTGACCTAGGTTCTCCTTCGCCTGGAAAGAAGATGACAGGAAGATTGTCATGTTGATCTCAATCGGACCCCATCTAAGACACTCAATGAACTGGAAGGTTTTTTCCTTGAGTTGGGTCATTTTCTCCGCTTTAGTTTGATTTATAACCTTTGAACCACGTTTCATCATCTTTGTTGAAATAAAGTCAACAGCCTTGTCTGTTTCCAGTTCCACCTCGGGCTCAAACGTATAGTCAACCAGCTCGATGTCATCTTCCTCGTCTCCCACAGATGAAGATCTAGGTGAAATCCTTTTTATTGGAAGGTTGTACCTTGTTACTGATTCCTCAGTCAAATTCTATTTATGCCTTTTCAGAATCCTTAGTTGTTATGAGCTCTTCACAAATCGCTTTTGTCTTCAATGATTTGCTCCGGACCTCTGTTTTCTAGGTTTTTCGCCATAGGCTCTTCGCCTCGACTACCTTTGTTCATTCTAGTGCTTTAAAAAGTGGCTTAGGGGGCAATAGGCGCTCGGCGGTGAGGTGCTGTCCCGATTGGTTACCAAACGGTGGACAAAAGCGTGGAGTTGTTAGGGACCTGCTTGGGTGGTCCTAGGCAGCCTAGGTGGTGTCTAGGCGGTGGTGCTAGGCGGTTCAACCCGTCACCTGGAGTCACCGCAGATTCATCGATAAAATCTGACGAGGGGAGAGAGGGAGAGAGTTCGTGCAAAGGGGGATGGAGAGTGTTCGTGCAGAAAGGGACATAGGGAGAAAAAAAAAAAAGTTAATTACACTAATACCTCTTGAGGTTTATCGTGTTTTTACAAAACCTCCTCACTTTTGAAACATAACACTAAGATCTCTTGAGGTTCTAATTCACTTTCACATAACCCCTTTAGGGCTAACATCATCTTAAAATAATTTCTTAAAGACAATTTTGCCCTAATTATTAAATACTTTATGAAAAATCCTTTATAAATAAATAGAATAAAAATTCAAATTAAAATCTTACATTAAACAATAAAAGGAAATAAAAGAAAATTGAAGAAATCTCGTTACCTTCATCCTCTACGCAATTAATTCATATCCCAATTCTCTTTTTTTAATTGGAAAAATGTGACAACCCGTTCCAAATTTTACATATTTATGAATTTTAAAACTGTGAATTTACAAAAATGCCCTAGAGGCAAAGATTTTGACTAACGTTGACCATCGTCCAGAGAGATGTATGACTTATTCTTTTAGCATATCCTCGTAGTACTCATTGATGCGAACGCATAGACGAAAGCCGTTTGAGAGTCCGGATTATAACGGTATAGTTATGGACGTTTGAAGTTGGTTATTGAGAGTTAGTTAAAAGATTAAGAAGGACCAATTAGATGAAAAAGAAGAAAGGGCAGCAATCCAATCAAAAATCAGAAAGAAAAAAAAAGGGGGGAAAAGCTGGGAGCTTTTCCCTTGGGTTTTCCGTCTGTACACCTCCACGACCACCCATCTTCCAAGGTTGATTTCGGCCAACTCCGATGGAGTTTTTCGACGCCATCACCACCATCTTGAAGCTTCATTTCCCTCTATAAAATCCACCCAAGAACCACTTTGATTAACCTCTGTACGTGGCGGTTTGAGGCCACGAAAGTTGATGGTTCTCACGGTGCCCCAACCACCCTTTTTGATTTTTCGGCAAAACGGCAAAGCGATGACCAATGCCACCACTTGGGCTTTGTAGCACATCATCCCAGGAGAAAATCCCAACCAACCTTGACCCCATTGGTCCACCGTGGACGACGAATCGACGCTGGGAAGTTTAGTCACCGCCGACTTTGTGGGTAAAATTGACAATCTTCTGTTCACTTTTGGACTTTGTGGTAGGTATGAAGGTTGCTACACTCATTGAAATCTTCATTTCTGTGAAGTTTGAGAATTTTTTAAAATAGTTGGATTTTCCGACTTGTCCGGGCGGCTGACCGCCACCCACGGCGGCGTGTGCGGCGGCGGGTGGCCAGTGGGCCGCTAATGCTAATTTTAGGCTATGTCAAATGTCTTGAATTCAGTTTTGATATTTGAATGATGGGGGTTGATCGTTGGAACCTAAATTTATTACGATACGTTATTTGATGAAAATATGAATCAACGATCTGACCGTTGGATCGTCACCAAACTTGGATACATTATAATACGTAATATTTAAAGATCATAGGAATTTATGGATTGGGAAACCGACGTACGGATCTTCCCGAATTGGATTTGTATGTTAGTAAAATAAATGTTTGCCGCCACTTGGTTTTGGGCAATTGGTAGAGATCCGACAGTTGGATCGTAATGAAATTTTAATATGTTATTCTAGAAGAATATTGTGGATCTTTGGGAGTTGCTGATTGGAAATCTGATATGCAGATTTTCCGAGTCGAGTTATACAGTGTTGTAAACTCTACCGTCGATCTTAGATCGACGGTTGACTTGTGGTCAATGGGTCTCGAACTATTTTAGAACGTCCTTGATGATGTGTTTCACATGAATTACGTATTCTATTGATAAGAGTTCTGAGATGTGATTCGATAATTGGTCACAGGCGCCAATCATTCAGGACGCCTCGATACGTGCGCTAGAGAACATAGCATGGACTCCAGGTGAGTGGACCTTTTCCTTTTTATAGTACATACTATTGATAGTTCCATCGACACTTTTAAATTGATTTAGGTACATTATCTTCATATAATTAATGTGAACGCTTGAAGTACTAATGTGAACTACGAATGACTTGATCCCTGCTTAGAGTACGTAGGCAGTCTAACGAGACGTTAGATGCAGCCATACAATAAGTGAGATTAAATAATGGAGACAAAAGATTTGTTTGGGAAAATGAGCATTGCGAAGGAATCTGGTGAAAAACATGAGATTTAACCTTATGTTTTGGGTGAATAAATGTTGGTTATAAATCAATGTGT